TCAAACCACGCTGGTCCATGGCACAATAAAGCAGCCTTTAGCTGCCTGTGTAAACGCTCGACCAACCCATTTGATTGGGGGTGGTATGGCGTTGTTTTCAAATGTTTACTGCCCAGTATTTGAGTGAGTTGATAAAACAAATCTGACTCAAATTGTCTTCCAAGATCCGAAGTAATTTTGAGCGGTATGCCGAACAATGAAATCCATCCGGTTACTAGACTGCGCGCTACTGTTTGCGCTGTGCCGTTCTCTGCTGCGATTGCTTGGGGAAATCGTGTAAACCTGTCAACAATAGTGAGACATTGGGTAAATCCACGCGAAGCTGGTAGCGTAACCAAGTCGATGTGAATATGTTCGAAACGTTGCGTCGGTAATTCAAAGTTAGCTATCGGAGACGATGTATGACGAGTTATTTTATTTGCTTGACATTTTATACAGCACTTTGTCCAGTGCGCAATATCTTTATTCATCGACGGCCACACATACCTTTGAGCGACCAATTTCCGCGACGCTCGTTGGCCGGGATGAGAAAGCGAGTGAAGTGCATTGAAAATTCTAAATCGCAGGTCTTTTGGGACGTATGGTCTCACTGTACCTGACGAAACGTCACAGTACAATTTGATTTCGTTGTCGTTAAAATGAAGTTGGCGTAAATGTAATGATGATGATGCGTTGCGTAGAAGTTGCTGCAGCTCGGCGTCTGCTACCTGTGCATTAAACAGCTCTGTCATCGTAACAGCAGCTGAGATTTCATCGACCCGCGATAATGTATCAGCAACAATATTTTCAGTGCCTGACACATGCCTAAAATCAGTCGTGAACTGACTAATAAAATCTAGTCTCCGAAATTGCCACGGAGAAGGGCGCTCAGGACGCTGCTGAAAAGCATGAATGAGGGGTTTATGGTCGGTATATATTACGACGTGTCTTCCCTCAAAAATATACTTGAAGTGCTGAATTGCTTCGTACACAGCATCCAGCTCACGATCGTATGTCGACTTTTTTGTTGTAGATGAAGAGAGTTTTTTGCTAAAAAATGCAAGCGGTTGCCAATCGTTGTCACATCGTTGTTGCAATACTGCCCCTATAGCATATTCGGAGGCATCCGTGAATATCGCCCATTCGGCGTTTACATTAGGGTGTGCTAGAAGTGTAGAGCTTACGAGAGCTTGTTTGCACTCATTAAAGCTTGTTTCCAGCTCAGGTGCCCATTGAACCGCATGAGAACTTTTCACATCAGGGCCTTCCAGAATCTTATTGAGAGGACCTAGAAGCTTTGCTGCATTTTTAATAAACTTACGGTAGAAATTAATAGTACCCAAAAATCCGCGAAGTTTTTTGATTGTTGACGGCTTAGGAAAATCTTTAATCGCAGAAACCCTCTCAGCGAGAGGTGCCATTCCACAAGAAGATACCAGGTGGCCTAGAAACGCGACTTCGCTCTTACCAAAAATTGATTTAGCTGCGTTGATTACAAGGCCAGCACTTTGTAGACGCTGAAACAAAACTTCAAGGTGTGCTATATGCTGCTGTTGATTTTCTGATGCCACGAGTATGTCGTCAATGTAAACGAATGCGAATGGTAAGTCCCTCGTTACCTCGTCCATGAAACGTTGGAATGTTTGCGCGGCGTTGCGCAAACCAAACGTCATGAAAGGGAACTCGTAAAGTCCAAATGGTGTTATAATTGCCGTTTTCGCAATGTCACCTGGTGCCACAGGGATTTGGTTGAAAGCGCGCACTAAGTCGATCGTAGAAAATATTTTTTTACCATACAGATTTGCTGCGAAATCATCCAGGTAGCGAACGGGATATTTATCTGGAATTGTACGGTCGTTCAGGCGTCTATAGTCCCCGCAAAGGCGCCATTCACCAGACTTTTTAGGCACTAAATGTAATGGTGATGACCATGGGCTATCGCTTCTTCTGGCTAGACCTAGTTTAATTAGTTTTTCAAACTCCTGTTTGGCTATGTTTAATTTATCGGGAGCCAGTCGTCTGGCTTTGCTGGAGACTGGCGGTCCATTTGTCGTTTTAATATGGTGTTCGGTAGCGAACTCGCTCGTACGATGAGCACCGCCTGGTTGAATAACAGATTGAAATTTATGAAAAAGTCCATTATAGGCTGGGTCTACCTCTGGGTGCAGGGCTTTAATTGAAGCTACGCCATACTTAAACATTTTCCCAGCTGTTGAGATGCCGGTGAGTCCGTCAGTTAAACTCTTTCGCTTCAAATCCACCAGCAACCCAAAATGGCTAAGTAAATCAGCACCGATGATAGGACGGGTGACATCAGCAATGACGAAACGCCATGGAAGATCTCTACGTAGTCCAAGATTGAGGATTAGCATTTTCGTGCCGTAAGTGTTGATTGGAGTACCGTTGGCGGCGAATAATTGATAGGAGAGTGGAACGAGTTGCTTGCTCGGACCTCGATATGGATAAACGGATATGTCTGACCCGGTATCAATAAGGAACCTATCACCCGTTGCCTTATCTGTGATAAACAAACGGCAGGAGGTAGATAAAGGAGAGTCGTTACCCGCCTCTAGCGACTCTCTCGAGAGTTTTCCTGAAACTTACAACCTGGTAAGCATTTGCGTGCTTGTGATTGAAATTTGGTATGATACCAACAGATGCCGGTCTGATTCGACAATTTCTTGGTAGCAGATTTGCTTCTAGAACGGCCCGATCGGCGGGGGGGGAGTTCGCGAACGAAGTCTGGATTGTCTTGATTGCAAATTTGAAACTGAAGTTGTTAACGCTGCCACTTGTTTAATGAGAGATGCGATATCTCCACGCAAATCAGGTGATTGCACTATAGCTGCACAATCTAGGGGGTGATAAACTTCATGTAATTTGTCAGCGTAATCAGCAAGTTCAGTTAAGGCTACGTTTTTATGCATAACAAGACACACGCGAGTTTGTTGTGGAAGATGAGACAGCCAGCGCGTTTTCAGCACCTCCTCGTTGATATCAGGTACCAGAGCTTTTAAATGGCGAAAGTGTTGCGATGGAGTGCGATCACCTATGCTTTCTTTGTCCAAAAGTTGGAGTAATTTAGCCTCTTTGGATTTGGAGAATCGTGAAATGAGTGTACTCTTTAGCTGCTGATAAGGGTCATTGGCTGGCGGATTAATAATAATATCCTCTACTTCCGCGGCAGAACGTGTATCGATAAGCGGAATTGTTTGATAAAATTTTTCTTTTTCTGTTTCGATGCCGTGGTTAACGAATTGGGCCTCTAGCTGAGCAAACCAAAGAGATGGTTTCTCACTGCTGAAGGGAGGCGCTTTAACATTTCTAGTCGGAGTGCTCATTATTTTATTTACAACCGGTTTCTGTGATGGAGTTTCAATAGTCATACCAAAAAAAAAACTGAGTTTAAACGACGAACGATGTGCCGTATATTCTAGCACAGCTAGCCAGCAAAGTGTTGAGAAGTTTTTTTTTTTAACTAGCTTTTATTTTTTTTTTGTTTTTTTTTTTAGTGCGCTGTTTCCTTTTGAGTGCACAATAGAATCACTCAATTTTTTAGTAATATCAACCGGTATGCTTGACCGTGAAATGACCGCGAGGAGTCGAAGCTGCAACAACAATTTTTTTGTGTCACCTTGGGAAGTTTCAAGAGTTTTCGATAATGGTCCACATGTGGAATTATATAATCACCAAATTATGAATTTCGATGTTGGTGGTTAACACAGATCTCGACTGAAATTTTTTGGAACTTTCACAGGCTATGCGCGCGTATTTAAGCCGTAAGAAGCATATAAAACTTAACACGCCGATATTAATTTATTTTAAAAACCAGGTTGGATACGCGATTCGTACTAAAAAAAAA